CACCTGACAACAACAACAACATTCTCTAAATATTTATACCACTGGAGAATATCTATGTACTTATACTTATTTTGACTTAACATTTCCCAAAACTAAGACTGTTAAAGGTAAGCTTTCCAATATAAAACCATAGAACATGCAGCTTGATACAAATATTGCAATCTGTCTCTTGGCATTTTCTTGGGGTGTTTTTATGCCCCGAGTTTCTGCTACCATGACCACTCTCACCTTTATGTTGAAAACTCCCAAACTGTGTCTGTATGAGGCAAATTTTAAAACCAGAGATTTATGTTGCTATAAAGGAGAAATCCTTTATAACCACATAAAACCATTGTCACCAGAAATTTCAGCCTAAGTTTTACACGAAAAGAGACATATTTTATCTTTAATGCCTCGTTAAACTTTCTGGAAACTGCAGTATTCTAAAACCATTCTAGGTGAATGACCGCATATGTCTGTCTAGCTTTTGAAAAGTTTAAATATTATCCATGAAAAAGACTAAACAAATCATTTGTTCTAATAATTAAAGCAATAGCAATTTTTTTCCCTTTTGCTTAAGTTTGTCTTTATGCTGAGATGATGCTCTGATATTTCAGCCATCTCACACATGAAGGTTCTTGGAGAGCTAACAGCCAAAATCACCTTTCTAAGCTAAAGTGGGACTCCTGGTGTGGCGCTGTAGGATAAGCACTGGACCCAAAGGTCGGTTTGAATTGAGAGGTCAGTGGTTCAAATTCACCAGTTGTTTCTCGAAAACCTATACAGGGTTGCTATGAATCTGAACTGACTCGATGGCACTTCATAACAACAACAAGCTTAAGTGAGAGTCTATCAAAGGTGACATTGTTTTTAAACACAAATTTATTGTGTTGTGTGCAGGTATACACACTTGTGTGCTTGTATGTGTGTCTGTATGCATGCTTCTATACCTATTATAAGCTGCTTTGTGTGGCCGCTAAAAATATGCAGTCTAAAACCAGCCTACTCAAGTTGAAATCCTCTTCTTGCCATTTCTTAATAATGTGACTTTGCGTAAATTATTCTCATCTTTAGTGTTCTAAGATTTAAATAAGCTATGTAAATTACTTTCAATAATGCCTCATCCATAATGGTGTGGTGGTGCAGGTTAATGCACTGGGCTGCAAAGTTGGTTTAAACCTCAGAGTTGGCAGTTCAAGTTCACCAGCTGCTCTTCGGAAACCCTACACAGGGTGGCTATGGGTCGAAACCGACTCGACGGCACTTAACAACAACAACATAATAGGTACTTATTAAATGGTGGCTATTACTATTATTTTGGAGTGCTTGTGTGTCATTGTTGGATAAGCACTGAAATGCTAACCTCACAGTCAAAAGTTCAAACCCACCAGCTGCTCCTCAGAAACCCTGTACAGGTTCACTATGAGTCAGAACCGGCTCAATTGCACATAACAACAATGACTATTATTGGAGTTCTGGTGTGGCACTATAGGGTCAGCACTGGACTGCTAACCTCAAGGCTGGTTTTTTAAACCCATGAGCCACTCCTTGAAAGCCCTATACAGGGTCATTATGAGTCAGAACTGGTTCAGTGGCATTTAATAACAACAACAACAATCGCTAGTATTTGGAAGCCTTGAGCGCTGGTAGCCTAGTGAATTATGAAATGAACTGCTAACTGCAAGGTCAGTGATTCAAATCGATCAGTCATTCCGTGGGAGAAAGAAGAGGCTGTCTGCTCCCATAAAGCTTTAGAGCCTTGGAAAGCCTGTACAGGGTCACTATAGTGGGACCAACTCCACGGCACACAACTACAACTACTACCACCTGGTGTGGTGCTGTAAGAAAAATACAGGAATGCTAACTTCAAGGCCAGCAGTTCAAACCCACTCACTGCTCCTTGGAAATCCTATACAGGTTGCTATGAGTTGGAACCAACTCGATGCTCCTTAACAACAACTTTCCTGTTATTATCTTGATCATATATTCATTTGCTCCTTTTTATTCCTAATGGTCTATTATTTATATAAATGCCTTGGTGAATTACTATTAAATGTGTATTTCACAGTTTATGCCAAGTTTCATAGCATTATGAATGCAAATCCCACGTCCAATATCGTGTAATACTTCTATTTGTCCAAATATGGGTACCTCTATACACTGTGCTCTGGGAGCATAGTGGTTACAAATTGGGCTGCGAACCTTAAGGCCAGCAGTTTGAAACTACCAGCCATTCCGCGGGAGAAAGATGAGGTGTTCTGCTCCCGTAAAGATTTACAGCTTCGGAAACCCTGTACAGGGTCGCTATGGGTCGGAACCGGCTTGAAGGCACTTAACAACAACATACACTGTGCTAGGAGGCCTGTTGTGGCACCGTGGGCTAACACGCTAGAATGTAAAGTCAATTTGAACTGCTAGGTCGGCGGTTCAAAGTCACCAACCACTCCTTAGAAACCCTATTCAGGGTCACTATGGGTCGGAACCAGCTTGAAGGCATTTAACAATATGACAGAACACTGTGGTAACAGCTGGTGTTGAGCTGAGCTGGTGGATTCCTCATCACTAGGAACTGAAGCCAAGCTAAGGTGCAAACGCAGGCAGCTGTCAATTATGTAAGCCTAAAATGGGTTTTCTTTTTCAGGGGGCGCCTAAACCAATAGCCATGGAGCCGTGTGCTGGAAACAGAGCTGCTGTTCTGACGGTGTTCCTTTGTCTTCCTCGGGGATCGTCCGGTGCCCCTCCCCCTGGGCAGTCAGGTAGGATGTGTGAGGGGCCTTCGGCCAACTTGCAGACTGAACAGTAAAGACCCTTACCAGGTTCTAATTGAGCGCACCGTCAAATGCTATTAGAATACAATGCATTACCTAATTCTCTACATATGTGCATTACCATACATTCATCCTTGCTAATGTTTCTCATATTAACACATAGTGTGTGTGTGTATTTAAGTGTACGCATAGAATAGAATAGCACGCACCTGTATGCACGCTCCAATTCACTGCTGTAATTACAATGAGAAAGGTCGCCAGTAGGGCAAAGCCTCCTGACCAGCTCCTTTTCTTTCTGTGTTCTTGTCATCTGGGAAGCGAAGTTAGAGATGTAACTAGACATTAATTTTGTGAATATGGAACCAAGCTAAGGGAATTCTTAGTGTGTCTTCAATGGTGGAATCAGAGAATGACAGCTTGCTACAACAATCTCAATATATTCGAGATATGTTTTGCTCCCAGACCAGAAGATGGAGTTCATAGGCTGGGGAACTCTCGCCTTAGAAGGATACAGCCAGAAATATGTTTTGAATTTGGAGATAATTATTTGTACTGTCTTAGAAGTTTTTGGATTGCTGTGATGTTGTTGTTATTGTGTTGTCAAGTCTGTTCTGATTCATTTCAACCCTGTACAGAGTTTCCGAGGAGCAGCTGGTGGGTTTGAACCACTGACCTTGTGGTTAGCAATCCAGTGCTGATTCTACAACACCATCCAGGACTCCGACTGCTGTGATAATATCTGCATTAAAAATAAGCTCAATGCTGAGTGTACTAATACTTAAATCTTTGCAGTTCAATCTTTCTTTATAGATGAGTTGAAACTTTCTTCTGTGGAGCTAAAGGTTAAGCGACTGGACTACTCACCACAAGACTGGTACTTCAAACCCATCAGCTTCTCCTTGGACACCCTATACAGGGTTGCTATGAGTCAGAACTGACTTGATGATTCTTTTGAATCCCAATGACAATATTCCTTCTATTTTCATGTTCTCATTTTTCTATCTCTTGATTGTTTCATCTATCCAACTCTTTAATGGAAGGGATGTTTTGAGGGCAAAAGTGATTTCAAATCTTTTTTGTCTTCAGTTTGCCTTCAGCATAAAGTGCTAGAGATCAGGCAGTTTACCAACATCAGGAAATTATGGTGAACTCACCTCCCAGCATATATCATCTTTACTTGGATCCCTAGTTGGTTTGATCTTGCCCCTCACTCTCCTGTTTGTGTTCACCCAGAAATAAAAACAGGAGGCCCATTAGTTTATACCTTGTCAATTTACAGATTTTTCTTCTATGTTGGGGTAGAGGGGGTCTCTGTCAATTTCAGACTCACCATATATAGAAACTGATGATACCCTGTTGCAGGTTGATGTTGATGATACCTACCCAGAGTTCCTTTGTAGATGTTTTATTCAAAGAAATTAACATGCTAGGTGCTCATGTATTTGAAAGAATGTCTCACTCTTCTTCCTGCAAAACGAAAGTAAATGGGATGCAGTCATAGAATCATTTTGCACCAGGTCAGATAAGATGGATAATTATAGGTACTATGCCCAGCTAATGAAGGTATTGTTTTAAAGCTGGGATGATTTCCAAAGCAAACACTTTACTAATGAAAACAAGTCTATGTGATATTCACCAAAGTTCTCTTAGATCCTTGACAAGATGACTTACTGATGAGTAGAGTGAAGACAACTGCCAATACTCTGCCCCTTTAACCTTTGAGATCCTTTTTGATGGATTTAAAAGAGTCCAGTGGCTGTGTGGACCATTACATCAGCTGAGTTTAATGATGGATGTGCTATGATTACTAATGATAGGGCTATCTGGATGTGCAGAGGGCTTTACTCTTACAACGCGTTTTCCTGTTTATCGTTTCTGATCATCATGGAAGGCCCACTTTATTGATTTTTTTTTAATAGTATTTTCTTCAGTTTTTGGTGAAAGTTTGCATAGCAAATTAGGTTCCATTTGATAGTTTCCAAAGAAATTGTTCTATGACATTAATTACATTTGTCACAACGTGTCACTGTTCTTGTTGATAGTGTTCTGTTTATTCTCCTTTCAGTACTTTAGTTTCCCTGGCTCCGGACCTTCTCATCTTTGCTTTGGAATAATTGTTAACATTTTAGTCTCACACTGATGGTTTTTTTAAGTAGGGCACTCATCTTATTGGTAATATCCTTTAGTTTGTGTGCTTCTCTTCTGTTTCACTAAAAGTGATCTCAGAAGCAGTGACACTGGAGAGATGGAGGCAGAGATGATGACATAGAGAGAGAGAGCAGCTGAGGACTCTAGACTCATGGAAAGAGAAAGACTGAGTGCTGGCAGCCAGGAGGCAGGCTTACAGAGTGTGCCCTTTGGTTGTTTAAATTATTATATATTACTTAGTGTTTTTGTGAACATCCCCCCAAAGCAAAGCAAAACAAAACAGAGGGAATAGAAGCAAAAACTGTTGAATGATGATGCATGGAGGAAACTGTAATCATTTAAATGAAACGATGATTATAAAACCAGTGTTCTCCCATGTAAACTATCACTCAATTCACAATAAAAACTTTAAAAAAATTAAATACAAAAGCAAAAAAACAGAAAACTGATCTCAGGGGATAAGTTTGGTTCTAGGTTTAAAGAGTGTCTCAGAGTGATAATGTCAAAGAGTCCTCTGATCCCTAATGTCTGAAAGTCCTCTGATCCCTACTATTCCAGTTTGTCTGACTTTTTATTTAAAAAAATTAATAATTTGTTTTCTGCTCCATATTTTTTCTCCCATTCTATCCAGGACCAATTACTGTGACCCCAGTCATAATGGTTAGTGATGGTAGCTGGGCATCATCTAGATCTTCTGGTCTCAGGGTACATGAGGTTATGAATCATGTAGACTCATTTCTTCTCTTAGCTTTAATTACTTTCTTCCTGTTTTGCTCCTGAGATTAGAGACCCAGAGCTGAGTCTTAGATGGTTACTAGTAAGCTCTGAGGCTCTCATACAATACCCACTTCATTAAGATACAGAATTTCTGTGAACTATGTTATGTCACTTGACTGGGTTATCCCATAAGACTATGGTCCTGAGCCTTCAAACCCAGAAAATATATCTTAGAAAGTGTTTGGTTATATCTGAGAAGTATCCATATTTGTGTCTTCAATGAATATGTGTACCTTTACCCACTTATTTGTATTTACACATACCTATATATACTTTTTTTCTTACATATATACAGACCCATGCCCATCTTTATACCAGTTGGTCTATACCAATCCCTATGTCTTCAAAAACTTGATTTTACTTTGATTATGCTGTACTAACCACATTCACATTTGGTGCCACTTTTCCCATCACCAAAAATAACAAGTGTCTATGCTTTCCTCCTCTCTGCCCTGGTAAACACCAATGAACATTGGTCTCTACATTTATCTATTCTTATCTTCTTAAAAAGAAGGAATCATACAATATTTGTCCTTATATGCTTGACTTATTCCACTTAGCACTATGTCCTCAGGTGACAGGACTACTTTATAAATGAAGGAACAGAGGCATAGAAAGGATGCTGTTTCTACATCCTACATCAAGGAATAAGGGGGTTGCTGGAGAGAGAATGCTACAGTATAGAGCAACACAGCAAAAAATACTAGTCACCAGCATTCTAGGTAGTTTTTCCTGATGATCTGTAATAGAGAGCTTGTTTCTCTATGATCAACATCCCATGTCTTCATAAAACAAACATTTTTGAAGGAGAACTGAAAATTTGGATGAGAATGGTATCAGCAATAGATTGAAATCTACCATGAATTTTTTAATAGACAGATTGAGCGATGATGAATATCTGTGTGCATAATTTAGGAAGAGATTTGTTATAATAAAACTAAATGAAAATGAATAATTTTTTTCTAGGTAGAGTGATAAGAGCAGGAAGATTCTTTGATTTGACCCCTTCAAAATACAATAGTATCTGCTGTCTGCGTCCCACTTTGAAATGAATCAAAAACATATACTGCATTGAAGGATTAGTAGTAAGGTGGATAGATGGACAATATTCTATGAAACAAGTTGACAGTAGAATCTAGGAAGTGGAAAATTCTTTCAACTTTGCTATATGTTTGAAATGTTTTGTTGAGAAACAATAAAAGAAAAAACATGAGGCAGTTTCTGCAGAGACATTTTCTAATGCTATAATCTGTGTTTTCCCTGAATAAGACAAATATTGATACTCACAGATAAACAAAATGCCTTCCCTGCCCCTCCACTCTTCATCAAGCTATTTGGCATGTGCACAGTCCGTTAAAACTTAACATAGGATTATGCAAAATATAGGAAGAAACACATTCCAATTATTATTTAGGAACCATATTTTCTCTGAAGGGAAATGTTGACATCCGTTTCATCAATTCTCTCATTGCTAGTGTTTGACTTATATCTTTATAGGTAGCTTGCATATATTAAGGATCTTCAAAAAGTTTGTGGGAAAAGGTGGTTATCTTTTAATCCATTTCCTCACAAACTTTCTGAAGCTCTCTTATTTACCTGTGCTTACCACACTTCTCTACACATAGAAAGTAGTTCATAAAGGCTATTGATGATGATGATGATGATGGTGGTGGTGGTAATGATAGTGATGGTGATGATGATGATGGTGGTGATGATGATGGTGGTGATGATGATGGTGGTGATGATGATGATGATGGTGCTGGTGGTGATGATGATGGTGGTGATGATGATGGTGGTGATGATGATGGTGGTGGTGATAGTGGTGGTGGTGATGATAATGGTGGTGGTGAGGATGATGATGATGGTGATTATAGGGTGGTGATGATGATTGTGGTGGTGGTGATGATGATGGTGAAGATAATGATGGTGGTGATGATGATGGTGGTGGTGGTGGTGATGATGATGATGGTGGTGGTGGTGATGATGATGGTGGTGGTGGTGGTGATGATGGTGAAGATAATGATGGTGGTGATGATGGTGATGGTGATGATGATGGTGATGAT